CCCCCCCCCCTCCCTTCCTCCCCATGCACCCCACCCCAGGGATATAGTTAAGTGACCACTATTTCGAGGAACTGTGAAAAAAATTCTTCCCGACATTCCGAAGGGAAAGGCCGCGAGCGCGAGGGGTTACGCACACGAACGACAATAAATTGCGACAGATTCCGAACAAATAAATTCACAAAATTCAAAGAAAGTGGGAATCGTAATTAATTTTTGAGCTAGGAGGTCAAACAAAAAGCAAAACATCCGATATTATATCCACAGTGAAAAAAAAACATGGATTTACCATTTCCCAGAATGCATGTAAAGTATAAAAAAACTGAAATAAATTTAAATTTCAAAGCACTTCGTAACGAATTGGAATTTATCAAAAAGCAGGAGAAAAGCAAAACATTCTTTAATAAAAAAATTTACAACTGAGTTCTGAGGCGTTAGCTGCGCCGTCGGGCGCCCGGGCGCGCCTGTCAACGCGAGGGTAGGCAACCATTGCCACCGTGGCGTGCGCGCAGCCCGCGGCAGCCTACCGGGCAGGCGGCTGGGGTGGGGGAGTGGCCGACGGGAGCAGGCGGAGGAGGGCGATCTCTCATGCGCTCACTCTCTCACTTTCATTCTCATCCAGGGCAAAATCATGCCGCTCCCGTTGTTCACAGCCCTCTCTCTCTCCCTCTCTCTCTCGCTCTCGTCTCAGCACGTTCATAACGAAGAGCTTTGCGGCGGCGGCGGCAGTGCCGGGGCGGACGAGGAGCAGGGAAAGCGAGGCACTGAGCGCCGCCCGGGAAAGTGAGCGGGGGCGGAGGCAATCCGCGACGAAACTCAATATGACAACTACACTGGGAATGCCACGCCACGCCACGCCATTCGGCGGCGCGCTCACTCAGGGAGTCCCGAAGTTAAGCTGGAGTCCGCGGTAAGAAAGCGGCGCGCGCCGACTCAGCCCCGAGAAAAAAAAAAAAAAAAAGACAAAAACGTGCGGGCCCACCACCCACCTTTGGCAGCTCAAAGACCAAGATGTTGTCATTATTATTACTTTTGCTGTGAGGACTGCGCGCGGGGGATGAGAAAAAAATAAATGCCGTGTGAGAGCGAGGGGATTTGAATGAAGCCAAAGCAGGCAAATAGGATCCGGTGCCGCTCGGCGCCGTGGGACCTTTGCGCGACTACAAGCGGCGAATTATCTAACCAAACGCGCGGAGGCGGCGGGCGGCGGCGGGGCAATGCGCGGGGCACAGGGTGGACCCGCGGGGGGACCGGGAGGACCTGGGGGGACCAGAGGGGGGAGAAACAATGCCGTCCGGGCAGCAGCAGCGCCGAGGTTGCGGCGGCAGCAGCAGCAACAGCGGGGCCGAGCAAGCCAAAGAAAATCCCCCTTGTTCCAAAGGCGCGGCGGGACGGGGCGGGGCGGTCCGCCGGGGGCAGGAGTGGGGCGCGGCCGTTCCAGGCGTCGGGGTTGGTGGGGGCGCGGCGGGGCGCGGCGGGGCCAGCCCCTCGCAATGCGTATTATTACGGATGCTAGGTAGAAGAACACAAACAATAAGTTGTTTTATTGTGTCTCCCGTCGACAACAATAAGGGGATGGTGGGCCGGGCGGGGCCGGGCGGGGCATAGCCAGCCGCGGCGCCGGAGGAGCCGGAGGAGTCGAGAGAGAGAGAAAGAGAGAGCCGAGTGGAGTGGGGGATGGAGAGGAGGCCAAAGCAGTTTACCGATATTTCCACCCTCCTCGCCACAAGAGTCAGATGAAAAATCGGCCAGCCCAGCCACGCTGCCCCCCTCCCCCACCCCTCTCCACTTCCTCCTCGGGCTGCTGCTGCTGCTGCTGCTGCTGCTGCTGCTGCGGCTGCTTCTGCTGCTGCTTCTGCTGCTGCTTCTGCTTCTGCTTCTGCTGCTGCTTCTGCTGCTACTTCTGCTGCTACTTCTGCTGCTGCGGCTGTTGCTGCGGCTGCTGCCGAGAGCGCTGAGAGCGGCTGGGTCTGCTATGGGGGCGCGCGGGCGCACAGCGACAAGGGGCTCGCTCGAAGAGACGCAGAAAGAGAGACACGCGGGCCGACAAAAGCACGAGAATTCGCGAGCGAATGCCTGACGCGCTGCGCGGGCGCGGCTCGGACGAATATGCGATCAGATATATATAGGTATAGGTGCGCGAGTTTATCACCATAAAAACAAACCCAACGGTAGCAGCCGTTTCATGACGTTGTGTTGTGTTATGCCGTGTTATGCTTATTATTATTTCCGATATACCGACCTGCGTGAAGAGCCAGGAGGTGACGAGCGCGAGCCGCGTGTACTGGCCGTTGAAGCGGTAGTGGTAGGCGTAGAACGTGAAGTGGTAGAGGTAAAAGAATCTGCAATCAAAAACAACAAACACGACAGTCGCATCGTTATCGTTCCAACTAGCGTACAAATCACAATGCGGTCAGTGAGGAATTTATTGGTTTGAAGTGGGGAAACTGAATATTTTCAAAAGAAAGATTATTGCTAAGGAAAAAGATATTATAAGGAACAAGGCTGGTTTTATCATTTTCACAGAGTTTTAAAAATATTCGACATTCTTCCTAATTATTTTTTCAAAAGTTCTTCAAAATGTCTTTCAAAATGTCGCAAAAAACCAAAGCCACGCTTTGAAAATTCAAGTGCAATAACGCTTTTGCCACGCGCCGTCGACCTCCGACCTGGTGCCAATGACACGGAGGCTAGGGCCGGGGCCGGGCGGCCGAGGAGGGGCGGTCCAGTCCACCTCCACCTCCGGGAGGGTCTGGCCCAGCTCCAGCACCAGGGCCGCACGTACGGGGAGTGGAATATATATGATATAAAGGGATTTGCGACCGGACACCTTTGTTGTGACACAAAAGGCGCCCACTCTGAACGCCCGGCGCGCGGCGGCGTCGCGTCTTGTGTGTCTCTGAGGAGGAAAAGAGCGGGGGGAAGGGAGGAGGGGAGGGGAGGTGGCACTGCGTCCAATGGACCGCACTATACACCCAGGTGATGGACACCACGA